TGATTTTGAGTGCCATTTATGTGATTATACACGTTTTGAATTTCAATCTGTTCATTGTAGGAAAATCTATTTGATTCTCTACTATAAAATTTAATTAAAGACCGTAGAGGCGTCATAAAGCGAAATTGATTGTATTTTAGTGCTTAGCATGATTTTTAGAGCCTACGGTGAAATTTGATTTAAAATTGATTCGGATCAAAATAATTAGATTAAATTGATTAATTTAAGTTCAATTAATTAGCCTTAATATAAGTTGATTAAGCAAAAATAAATATATATGGCCTATTTACATGTATACTCACTTTTGGAGCTTATTTACATCTATTTGGCTGAAATCACACTATAGAGAGAGAGAGGGCTGATTCGAAAGAGAGAGAAGAAGAGGAAAAATTGTAGAATTGTCTCAAACCTTGAAGATTTGGAAAGCTAGGCTCTAAAACTAGCTAGAATTTGGGAGATTGGAGCTCCTAGGTGAGTAATTGAACTCAACTTCATGAGTTTCAGTTCATAATTAAGTGAATTCAAGCAAGATGTGCAATTAAGAACAAGAATTGAGTTGATTATAATGAATTTGAAGTCAATATGGTCATGCATGTAGAGAGTTGCCATAGAATTGCATGATTTAGCATAAGGCGTGTTGAATATGAAGAATTGAGCATCAAAGCTTACATGCATGCATAATTTTGTTGAAATTCATGATTTTGGGCATCATTTGTGCCATTTGAAGTAGAATTGGAGTCAATAATTAACATGCATGCATGATTCATGAAGATATGAAGTTGTATGAAGTTTGAATGCATGAGTTTTGGAATTTATGAGAGAATTCGGAATGGATTTGGAAATGGACCATGATTTTGGACAATTGGTCTTAATTTATCCAAGTTCTTATGATATACAATGTTTTTCTATGATTTGGCATTAATTTGCAAACTTTGGAACCTTTGAAATATGTTTTTGAGCTTCAAACAGAATTATGGAAAACCTAGAATTCGTCAAGTCTGCTTGAGCGGGAAAATCACCGCTCGAGCGTAAAATGTTAGCTCCTAGAAGTTTTACAGACATTGATGTGCGCTCGAGCGAGACGAGTTACGCTCGAGCGCCCAGTCACATGTTTCGACTCTCAACTCGAGCGTCCAAAGTCACGCTTGAGTGCAAAAATGAGGCAACTAGCACTTTTGCAGACTAAAAGGGTCCGCTCGAGCGACCAAAGCTGCGCTCGAGCGGAGTACCCTGTTTTAGAAATTTTGAAAAGTGGCTTTGTGTTTTGTTTTCCGTTCTCTTTCATTTTTGAGCACTCTTAGGCATACATTGAGCATTGCAAATGGACTAAGAAGGTAAGAAAGAGGCCTAAGTGGAATATATATATATTAAGAACAGATTGAATCGCTTGTGACCCATTATGTTTATGATATATGTAGGGTCAACCGCAAGGGCAAATCATTCGACAGATCACTGTAAGAAATATCTTAATAAAGATATCTTCAAGTACGTTATTTTCCACAATGTTACTTCTATATGAGCCTTATGGATTTGTATTTTGAATTATGGATGAATGGTCTAAATGTCAGTCTTTTGCATAAGGCTAATTGAATACGAAAGTGATTATGAACATGAGTATGACACACGTACATGAATGCGAATATGGAAATGAATGATGGGCCAAAGGCCGTTTGATATGAATGGTTGGGCCAAAGGCCATTTGACATGAATGGTTGGGGGCTAAAGGCCGTTTGACATGAATGATTGGGCCGAAGGTCGTTTGATACGAACAAATTGGGCCTAAGGCCGTTTGATAAGAATGAATTGGGCTCGAGACCGTTTGATATATTTGGCCCTGAGGCCATTTGATGTATTAGATGGAAACTTAAATGGGCCTATGGCCGTTAGATATGTTTGCTACAAATTTCATTCATCTAACTCCTTTATTTTGATATTATTCATTGGGCTATCGCTCACTCTCATTTATGTGTGTGTAGGTGAGCAAAGAGATGTCCAAACCCAGCCTCAGTGAAAGTCATGAGAGAAGTCAAGTTTTTGTAAATTTAGCCCAAATGTCTCACGCATGAGACTTGTTTTGTTTCTTTTGTTTTCACTTTGTTACCTTGGTGAATACGTTGGATCACCATGTATATAAGCTTTTTGTTTGGCTGACTGCATGTTTGAAAGTTTATGGACATATAAGATGTTAATTTTGACTACCTGTGTGAGTTATTATGGAATGTTAATGGAATGTTTGTTTTACCATGTAAGCGTAGCTCATTGGATAGAGTTTTTAAATCTACTTCTATTTTGGCCCCATTACCGTTATTAAATATGTCTATATATGTTTGAGTCAGTAGATAATCTCATGATTATTGGTCGGTTATGACCTTAATCCTTAGGGGCGGGATCGGGTCATGACAGAGTGGTATTGGAGCACGAGTTAATAACTCACACACTTGTCCAAATAAGCAGTAAGCATCTAAAAAAAATCTATGACACATTCATGTGATAAGTATGAACTAGAAGACATCGAACATATGTTTAAATGTTTCGAAATGAATAACTATGTGCTATTTGTTTTGTGATGTATTTGCATTGTGAATTATTTGAATATGTATACTCTTTTGTATATGTATACTTGTGAACATTTTTGTATAAGGAATAATGCAAGTCTAATAAGATAATGGTGAGAACAAGAGGTGATAAAATAGAGGAGTCCTCTACTACTAGAATGGATAGGATGGAAAGATTGATTCAGGAAATGGAAGAAACATTGAGACAACAACAATAGTGGCAACAACAATGGCAACAGCCACACCCCCCACCTTCACCTCTAGCACCACCTGTACCAGACCTACAAAATGATGACCGAACAATAGCTCTCACCAAAGAGTTTAAGAAAATGAAGGTACCATTGTTTCTTGGGGGAGTGGATCTATTGAAAGTAGAAGCTTGGGTCCTTGGCATTGAAAAACTATTTGAAGTATTCTCATGCCTTGAAGCACAAAAAGTACAGTTGGCCACCTTTACACTAGAGGATGAAGCAAGAAGGTGGTGGATGCTAATTCAAGATGATAGCAAGAGCATAGACTGGACACGATTTATTGAACTCTTTTATGATAAATACTATCCACAGTGTGTCCATGATAGAAATGTGTCTGAATTTGGGGAGCTGAAGCAAGGCAATATGTCAGTGGCTGAGTATGAGGCCAAGTTTACCGAATTGGCTAGGTTTGCACCACATATGGTCGGCACAGACTATAAAAAGGTGAGAAAATTTGAGGATGGTCTCCACAACGATATGTTGGAAAGGGTGAATGTACTGAAATTGCTACTTATGTTGATGTGCTAAACTGGGCTTTAATGTCAGAAACTAATATGGCCAATCAAAATAAACCGTTTGAATGGAAAGGCAAGAGGCAAGGCTTCTATTCAAAGAAGAAGATGTTTAAGAAGCAAAATACGAGTTCATTGCGTTCTAGCTCTTCAAGGGACTCTGCACTAACATGTAGCATATGTGGTAGAAGACACTGGGGAGTTTCTTACCACATATCTGGGGCATGTTTTCGGTGTGGCAAAACTGGGCATATGGTTAAAAACTGTCCTCAGATTGACCAAAGAGATGGAAGGCCATCCGCTAGCTCAACTGGATCTATCCCTGTACCAGGGAACACTGTGAGACTGTAATGCCCGAAATAAAAGACGATAAACCATCCACCATATTCATTAAATAACAATGCATGAATAAGTAATCATATCCCATTAGTTCCAATGATCGTACAAAAGAGTAACATATGTAGGTACACATTCACAAACCTTTCCTTGAATCTATAGCATATGTTACATAATAGAGAAATAGAATGAGAGTTGAACAAATAAAAAAAGCCCTAAAGGCTTACAGCTTTCCAAGGCAGTGTTTGGTTACAACAAAATAGATTTAAATCCAACACAGTTAAAGCCCTAGGCTTGTACAAAACAAATAGAACAAAATAAAAAAATGAAGCTCTTGCTTCCAAGTCCTCCTAAGCTATTGCCTTGGCAAAACCTGAAAATGGTTTTCCCACATAGGGTGCGCTGAAGCTCGGTAGAAATAAGCCAACACAATATATGAATCTTAACAAAGATATAAGGGTGAAATACATATGCAATGCTTGTGCCATACATTTTATATCTTTTTCCAAAACCATGTAATGCCAACTTAATATCAGAATTCATAAATCACTTCCTTTACAATAGAAACAGGGTAGTGAATCACACTTTGGGAATCTCAAAATAATTTCAATGTTTCGCTGAAATTTTGACCGCATGAAACCGTGAACCGACACTGATGTAAACATAGGCTTTACAAGCACTATTATTGCCATTTTACGAAAATTTCGCCCGCGGGATCGACACTCATGTATACTCACGGTTTTTAGGACTTTTACCATGGACACTCAGGCCAACTTAGTTCAACGAGACATCACATACTTCCCAGATTCACCTCCTTTCTCAAAATGATAAACATTTCCAATGTATAAATATGAAATAATGCTCAATGTAAATGGATGAGACAATAGTTTCAATTCTCATAATTCTCATATAATTTCTACAACAATCATAGCTATCCTCCACCGATAGGCCCAAATAAATATTTCTAAACAAATAAACGATTTTCAATAAAGATAAACTTTCCAAATCTCAAGATGTAAGTGATAACACATATCCAACTCCACCATCCTCATCAATATCAATCCAATTTCACATTTCGAACATCAATTCCATTATTTATACAAAATCAACATTATATATATTTAGGGCAAAACCCCAGTTTCTTCCAAAACTGAATCCAAGTTTCAAAAGCAACCATTTTATCGCAACTCAACCTCATTTCAAAGCCCACAACCATTTTCAAGAATTCATTTGAAAACCCTTTTTTCATTTTTTACCCAAAACCCTAGAGTTGTCCAAAAATCTCCAAATCACAAAATTGTTTTAGAAATAACAAATAACTATGTTAAAAATCATAAAAGAGTGCAAAGAATCCCTACCTCAAGCTTAGAAGACGAGAGAGAGATTGGAGATACTTCAAAAATGTCAAAACCAAACTTTTTTTAGATCAAAAGGAAGCCCGCGACATGCTTTACCTTTTAAACAAAGGGACGCGGGTGAGGAACTCAACGGATCGAGGTGTATTTGTAGAGAGAAGTAGAGTTTTAGAGAGAGAGGGTGTAGATATAGGGTTTTTAGAATGTTTAGAGAGAGAGAAAAGAAAAAGTGATTCAAAAGTGGCTTCTTACGAACTGATATTAGCACAGATCTGTAGACGCGCCCGAACGTCCTGGGAAAATCCCGTTTTGTTCATTGGGCTCACTACAGTTTGGACTCCATGTCACGGTTCTGAATCTAATCTCACAAAGTGCAATGCAAGATCGATAAATCACCAAAGAGTCCCAATCTGGCAAATCGTTTTGAAAAACTAATTTTTAGAAATAAGTGCCAAACATGGACTGCTTTGCCAGATACAGAGTCGCCACCTAAATATTTTATTTTTGGAAAATTTAGGAAACCCTAACTCGTGCCTAAGGCCACGTGTTCGTCATCACCAAAGTTGCCTCGGCTCTGGAACTTGGGTACGAGAGGGAAAGGTCATGCAATGAGCACCCCCGCTCGCCCGATCAAAGATCGGCCTTTACTAACATGATATCTTGTTTTTGAAAACACATGCGTTCTTATTCCGATTTTATTAGCCTAGAATTATTATGTGATGCGCACTACACACAAGTATAGATTGGATCGCCTAAGTTGGAACAAAACATCTCATGTTTGTTTTTGAAAGCGGTTTGCTACTCGCAAGTAGGCTAAAATGCGGATTTTTCCACCCTTAAGTGGGCTTAGAAAACATGGTGGTTTGCCACTCTTAAGTGGGCTTAAAACTTGCAATCAATGAATTATTCCAATTCAGGTAATCCAACCTTCACCCATAGGCATTCAGGAAATTATATCACATAAGCAGTTAGCCTCATGGCAAGCATGCTATCACGGCAGTCACTCACACACATGCAAGGATGCTAAAGCATAAACGCTTACCGAGTACTCCGAACCAAAACAGAAGATAGTTAGTAATCATGCATGATCCTAGCTATGTCAAGAATGCCTAATGCAACACATGCAAAATGCAACTAAGATAGGCTCGGCTATTTTAAAATGTCATGTGAAATGTAACTTGATACATGTATTCAAACAGGAATTGAAATACAATGCAGTTAGTATGATGCGCCGAGCCCGGTGCATGCAAGACAGATGAATGAATGCGAACATGTGAGCATAAGGATGCTAATTGAAACATGTCCTAAAACTAACCATCGTAAGCTAGTAAATAAAAGAGAGAAAGAAATAGGGGTTGGAAGACATGCATCACACACACGCACACTTGTTACAACAATTGTGCCCTTTCGACGGAGGGTCCGAATAAATAATACAGAACCGACTAATTAACTAACTATTCTAGCTAATTAATTATCACACAACCAAAATTGAAACAAATATACATTCTAAGCTAACAAAACACTGAAATGGCCTCATGACTAGGGATGCATGTATGCTCGAATCGCCTCGCTCAGAAATCCATCGCGATGCCCCGATTTGCCTCTGTTTGCAAATGATCTCAGAACACTGCACAAAGCTCCATAAAGCTTCCACTCCACCTAGGAGACCTCTAGGGATGTTGCCGACCAGTTATTGCTACTGGAGACCACCTGCCGACCACTTTTTGTGGTGAAGACCAAAAAAAGTGGTCGGCCAGCCACTTTATCTGGTCGGCCGACCAGTTTTTGTTGCTGGTTTCTGGTTTTCTGTAACAGAGGGCAAGAGAGGGGCATGGCGAAGTATTTGCAACACATATGTGCACAACCATCCTCCCTATCATTACACGAGCTCAAGGGAGTATAGTTCTCGATCCTCAGGCCATCAACCACACATCTCAATGCATGATGGCCGAGGACCCGAATTGCGCAACTCAATATGAAATGAATGCACATCTGAACACGTAAAGCCTAAAACTCCATCATGTATAGTCAAGAGTGTCGGCGACCGGGAATTGAGGTACGTTTCATCACATCGAGTATGAAACGTCCCTCGTTTCTCGTGTTTGGGCTAACTCCTATCCCAAACACAATGCAATACATAACATGGCATGCACAATGCAATGTAACATGGAGTATGTAAAAATGCAATGCAACGCAAGCATGCAAATATGCAATGCAATATGAACAACCTAACAAGGCTAATGGCATGCACAATGCTAATGCATACGTACTCAATGCAAGGCAACACAAGCATGCAACAATATGAACAACAACTAGCATACGCAATGCAAATGGACGTGGCATACACAACGCAATGAACCACATGGCATACACAATGCTCAATGGGCTTAAACCAAAATGAATAGGCCTTAGCCATGTCCAAATCAGTGGCCATAACACCAAGACTAAGGCACCAAAAGACAAGACACACATGCGCACATATTGGTCCACAAGCTAGGCAACAAGAACACAACCCTTAGGGGCACTCAAGGGGTGACAAAAGTGGGAGCATGACAAGTCTATATGCTCTGAAATTACATGCAAAGTGAAGCCATATCATGCAAATAGCTCAAATAAAGCATGCCAAGAGACTTGAAATACAAAGCTAGTCAAGGGCTTTACACTACAACCATACCAAGCAGTGCTCAAATGACCTAAAGAACTCAAAACAGACCTAATGCAGGTCAAAACAGTGGCCGAAATGGACTGAAATGATAACATGCTAAGCAAAAAAAAGCATGCTCAAATGATGGCTCTCAAGCAAGGCACAAAGCTCAACTCTCAAATACAATTAAAGAGTGATAAACATGAGATTATGGCAAAGATATAAGCTCTGAAATTCCATGCCAAATGATGCCAATGTATGCAAACATCACACATATAGCATGCTAGGGACCTTAAAACTCAAGACTAGCCAAAGCATTTGCACTATAACTATACAAAACATGAGTGATATGACCATGGAAGCCCAAAAAAGTCCTAGAACAGCCTAAAATATGAATAAAATCATGTTGGAGCATAGCCAAAATATGCTAGAACGATGAGCCAAAACAACATGCATACAAAACTAGTAAGCAAGATTTATACTACAAGTACATGAAGCATGCAAGAGGCTATCAAACCAACTTTAGACAGAGTTATGACATGCTAAATAATGACCAAAAACCTGCTAAAATGGAGCCCATACATGCTAGAAAGACATGCTACTTTGATGAGCCACAAATGGGATTGCACTACACATACAAGAAACATGCAAAAGGTGACCAAACCAGCCATGGAAAGAGTC